GAACAGTAAGAGTTCATTAAGTAATGAAACACTTTTAAAATGAAGCAAGAAGGAGTCCAAGTGAGGAGCATTTCATTCTAACGCTTGATGAGGTTAGTATTTTGCCTTCGGTGCTGTTAAATCATCGAAATAGCGAGACTGCGAATTTACTGCTTGCTGGGCTAATAACGTGAAGTTTTATTATCTGCAGCCTGTACGCTGCTTTCTAATTACAAGTCTGATACAACAAAAGTGCAATCTCTGCTCGTTCTCCCGTGTTTCCTTTATTCTCTGCCCTCCCCTCCCTGCACGCGCCTTACTGCCCTGCAGCGACCGGCTGAACAGACTCACTCTCCTGTGAAGAACACGACGTGCAGACCAGCTACCGCTTTGGTGTGTTCTTGACACCCAGAAGCACATGTACGTGTGAGCAGCTGGGATAAAGCACTCTGGCTTTTACAGCGGTGGGAACGGGAGGCTGTGGTTGGACGGCAGGAAGCATCACCAACTCACGTTTCAGTTCATGCCAGTGCCTTGGTACAATAAGAAGCCACTCTTGCTCGATATCTCTGAAAACTTTAGGGTCCTATGACACAAAGGCTGGGTCTAGTTCACCGGCTGCCAGTTTAAACTATTTTCCTGGAGAGAGAGAGTGTCTGAAGGCAGTTTCCCAGTTGCCAGTGTCTGGTTCTGCAAGGCTGTTGCAGGAGGTTGTTGCGTGTGCGAATGCTGCGCTCTAGTGGTTTGTACAGCTTGGAGCAAACGTCAATGCCTTGCGAGTTTGGGGGACGTGGCCATGCCTTTGTGAGGCTGGAGGATATGTCCATACCTTGAAGAGACCGGAGGAAACGTCCATGCTTTGGTGAGGCTGAAGCAAATGGCCATGTTCAAGGCCACGTTGGATGAGGTTTTGAGCAACCTGGTGTAGTGGAGGGTGTCCCTGCCCATGACAAGGGGGTTGGAACTAGATGATCTTTGAGGTCCCTTCCAACCCAAACCATTCTATGATTCTATGATTCTACATCTTGGCAAGGCTGTAGGAAATGTCCACGCTTTGGTGAGGCTGAAGGAAATGACCATTACTTGGCAAGGCTGGAGGAAATGGCTGTGCCTTGGTGAGTTTGGAGGACATGGCCATGCCTTGACAAGGCTGGAGGAAATGGCTGTGTCTTGGAGACACTAGAGGCAACGGCCATCCCAGCCCCATGCTGGGATCTATTTCTTCAAGGGAAGACTCTTCCTTGGCTTTGCTATTGTAGCCCAACGCATGTAGTGTCCTTCACTACGCACTAGTTTTAAAGCTTAACAACTCCCCACGGTAGCTGCCTCCTGCTTTACAGCTCTTTGCTTAGTTTATTGGTATTTTTTTTGCTGCTGTTAATGGAGCTAATGTTACATCACCTGAGGTTTCAACCCAATATCCCAGATCACGCCTAGCCAATTCACCTTGTTTCTTCCATCTTCTTTTTTGACTGCCTTGTTCCTCTGCCAGATTTCTGTATTTGGAGCACGCAGGGAGCTTTGCATTCCTGGTGTGTTGGCTCATGCTCCAAAATTGCTGCACTGTGAGGGTGCTCCTTCGCATTCCTGACTTATTAAAGGGAAGGTGGTGGATTCCCTAAATGTCTCACCTGGCGTCTCCTCCAAGATGTTTTTCATCTTCCTTCTGCGTACTTCTCGGTGCCACAGCCTTGCTTCAACTTCTTTTTCCCACCTTCATCTCCTGCTGTTTTCCAGGTTGAGTCAGGCACGCTAAAAAAGCACTGGAGATTTTCTTAGTGACAACCACGGCAGGGCAGGACTGGCCTGTGGGGAGAAGGTGGATTCTACCAGGAGATGCACAGATGATGACAACAGAAGCACACATTTTTGATGGGCATTGTCACGTGAAAGTGAAACACTCATTAAATTGTTACACAGTGAAAGTCTCCGAAGTTGCTCTTGTTGCCAAGTTTAAACTGGAGCCTAATTGGTTTTCTGGGGTTTTTCCTTCTTTCTTTGATTCCAGTTTTGGACTGTACTGATTCAGAGGGTTTAGGTACATAAGTCTTACAGACATTACTGGGTATTAACATGAAAGACAAGTCATTGTTGTGATCAAGAAATTAAAGTTCACTTGGGCTTTCAGTAAGTTGGGCAGGGACACATGGGATTTCAGTCAAGTGCGGAATGAAATAAGGATTTGTTTGAAGGTTGGGGCAGTGCCTGCATCCAGGCTAGGATAAAAATAATACAAATGTGAACTGCTCACTTTGTTTAACAGGGAGGGTCACACTTACAGTCTTTGGAGCTAAAAAGCAAGGAAGAGTTATGGGTTTGGATCAAAGAACCAATTTCTGCAGGAGAGATGACACAACAAAGCCACATTTCTTGTGGTTCAAGCAAAGATGAACACCCTCAGTGGTGACCAGCAAGGGTCAGGATTCATTCTTGCTGGAGAAGCCTATGGTAAAGAGAGAATTTCACTCTCTCTGATTCTTGCCTGGTGTAGGGCATAGTTGTTCAAGAGTTCCTAAACTTCATTCAGTTTCATAACAAAATAATTTATGGACATTTTTCTTTGCCTCAAAAACCACCTGCGGAGAGCCATTTTTCTAGAAACCACCGGTTTTAATAAACATACTCAGGAACTGGGTTTCATCTCAGCCAGTGCCAGACGTTGGTGGGGCCAAGAACTCCTCTGCGCT